TGATTCGACTGGCGCGGCCCTTCAGCCCGCGCTTTTCGATCGGAGTGGGACTCGGTGGACGCGCGCGAGACGGCAACGTCACACCTCATACTAAAGTATCTAACAAGGGGAACGCACCGCACGGGTTGAGAATTTCAGTTTGGGATCAGCCTTCGTGTGGTGGTAGTGTACCCTTAGGGTGTAAATATATTAAAGTCATAGGGCGCACTATCCAGTCAATTCCGAGAAAAAGCGTCCCAAAGTTTTCCAAGTAGTTATATATATGAAAGTTTTCTTACCTGTTATTTGATGATTATTCGGATGAAAAACAAAAAAGAAAAGAATGGCAACGTATAGGGATCGAACCTGAGACCACGGGCATGTAAGTCGGACACGCTACCGCCTTAACCAAATGACCGGTTGAAAGTTTTACCCGGCAAGTAGTCCAGCCGGAAGTCTGCCGCCCGGCGAACATCAGCCCGCGTTTACCGTAATAATTATCCGCCGAAAACAACGCGTCGTTATCACCACCCGGGGGCGAACGACGCAATTACCGCTAGACGCTTGGGTATAAAAAGGCAGCATTTCGGCATCTCATTACCAGAACGATTCCTGAATCCTCTCGAGCAGTACGCTCCGAGCCGATACCAGAACCGATCCTAGAAACTCGCATACAAACAAAGGAACGTGAGATTGACGCGTACGCAGTCTCCGCCGAGCATTCTCGGTCTCCTCGCCGCCTGCGAAATCCTATCTAAGTCCGACCTCATCCAACGATAGCGGAGAGTTCGCCGCTATCTAAGATTCGGTCTAAGATCCGACCGCTACCGCTAAACGGACCGTGGGCCGGCGAGTTCGCCGCTCCGTCAAGACTCCTCGACGCCCGATAGCCATCCTCTATCCGCGTACGGAAGTAAGGGACGGAGAGTTCTCCGCCCGATCGAGGGTTCTCGATCTCCGGTCGCATCCCCCCGCACACGTGGGAATACGCGGATAAGAACACGCGAACGCACCGACACGGTTTTACCGTGGTCCAGTATTATAATCGCGCCGATATACGTAATCGAATCACCCGATATAATTCCACGCGCCGTCAAAATAAACACGGCCTTGCCGTACACACGCCGATCGACCGCGCCCGATTTCTTGCGCATTTCGCGCACCGTCAAAATAAACGGCCTCGCCGTACGCCGCCGAATAGCACGAGCGGTTCGATATATCGAACGTCGCGCACCGAATAACGAACGCGAGATAAATCTAACGCGTTGCATTATCCGACGCGCGTTAGATCCACGCAATATCGTGTAACTTGACCATTGCCGAAAGAGGCGAATAAAGACGCTACCTTACATCCTAAGCTTTCGTGTGTCTCACCTTTCACGAGCCCTGATCCCGACCGAGTTTATCCGCGCGCTCGCGAAAGCGACCCCGTTACAAAATTAAGAAAACTTTCTTATATATAACTACTTGAAAAACTTTGGAACGCTTTTTCTCGGAATTGGTTGGATAGTGCGTCCTATAACTTTAATATATTTAAACCTTAAGGGTTCACTACCACCACACGAAGGCTGATCCCAAACTGAAATTTCCAACCCGTGCGTTCACCTTGTAAGAACGGCTATTTTTACATGGAATGATTAAAAAAGAGGCAAATAATGAACATTTTTTACTTATATTAAATATATAATGCAATCAAAGAATTTACCTCGAGAAACAATTAATCAGGTATAAAAGCAAGAATAATTTGCTTCATTCTTTAATCTTACTATGGCTGCGTTCCGATATTATTGCCACTACTGAAAACGTATAGTTTACGGACACTATAGATTTTCAATACTGGCAATAATATCAGAACGCAGCCTGTATAGATGATAATATGTAATAATTGACAGTAAATGTTAGGTAAGATCCGGTTTGCAATTGTCCGTATCTTATATGGTGCGCATCAGCGCATAAATCAATAAGAATTATTTTTAGAAAATATCGCAAATAGCGATGATGGTTCAAATGGCGCGGACATGTTCTCGGTTCATGATCTTGATTTTACTTTTAGAAAAAAGGTGCAAATGCTAAGGTATAAATATGTGAAGAACAAAGATGCTGAGTAAGAGTTTTGAAGTTGCAACGATTTTATATAAATGCATTTTACGAAATATAAAGAATATAATAGTTTAAAATAAATATTACTCTTATAGTAATTTATTTGTATTATAAATGATTTAAATGTCTTGGCAGGTATTTTGTTTGTTTATTAATTACTAGATATATCAAAATATGATGTACACATAGCTCTAATGATCATGACACGTAATGGTAATTACGCAGTGGTAAAAAAAAACTAATAATAGTGAAGAATTATTTCTTTGACCTTTTTTAACGTTTAAAATTTATATTTGTTGAAAATTAAGTATATTTTTATAATTTTCATTCTATGCACGTTGCGCAAAAATGTTCATACATCATGATATGTATTTAATTAAAAATGCGAAACTGTATTTATTATTTTTATGTGCAGCATTTTATGTAAGCAATTTACTATTTTCTTTAACTCATAATTAATTTTTGTACGTATAAATACAAAATATAGCTGCATGTAGAGAAAATTGAACAAAAGAATCTTTAAACAATTTAAAATGGTTGTGTTCCCATATATTCGTAATCGATCTGGATTATACTGGTTCGGAAGACAGTATTTTATTTTTACTTTATATGTTATATATTTTCCTCAGAGATAATCTTCTTCGATTAACATTTTGCAGCATAATATTTTTAACAATTCTTTGCAACATTAACAATTATAATATTTTATAGAAATTCTGTGAGAGACAGAGCCTTACAAAGCGAATAATGAAACTTGATAATAACTTTAGAAGTAGCGCTGAAAATTTAGAAATTTACATATATTTTTTAGAACATTAACAAGTATTAAATAGAGCTTAAATAAATTTAGAAAAAAATTAATAATAAGATAATAAAGAATACATTTTGTACGTAAAATCTTGAACTAATCTTATTAAAGATAAAAAAAAGACCAATATCTAATACTATAGTAAATTCTCGAAAATTATGAAATTATAATTAATTGTTAATGAACCGTTTGTGTGCGTGCGTGCGTGCGTGTGTGTGTGTGCATGTGTGTCTTGTTCTGCGATAAATTTTTTTTTGCACATTGCAACATTAGAGTTTAGTCTCACCGGACGAATCTTTCTCATCTTTTTGTTCGCAAGAACTCATCTTTTTCTGTATAGGCATCTTTTCTAATGTAATGGTGGATGTCAAAATACTCGACGATGTTGCATTTGTTGCGCATGAATCTTCTGAAAACAAACCGCAGCCGAATCGCTTCAATAACATCCGCACGATATGCTTTTTCCACACAAAGATAATAAAGAAGCAGAGATTCTGCAGAGTGTTCAAAAGACTAGAGCATACAGTATGTATAGAGATACGAAACATATTATAAAACACATATACAAACAACATGAATGTGTTTATGGACAAATCTATTCCCATTATGATAAACAGCAGGATAAATAGCTTCCGATACAGATTGAACCTGGAAACAAACACGTACACATGTATATATGTATACTTATATGTATATGTATGTATAAATTAACAATTATAAATACTATTAATCATGTTATCTCTAAAAAGTAATGGAACAAATTACAATCTTAAGAAAAAAGAAAGAGATAGTTATAAATTTTTTTAAGAAATTTTCAAAAGATGTGATTTCCTTTATGAAATAAATGCACACATATACATTCATTAATTTTATTCTCACTATTCGTCACATTTCGAGAATTGCAGACTTTCTCAGAATAACACGTACACGATTGAAATGGCAGCAATACACCATTCAAAAAAAAATAAGGAATATTTTTCATGCTCTGAAAATTGAGCTGTTTTCAAAGCGCTGAAACTCGACAAAAAATTATCGTAGATAAAAAATTTTATAAACATTTTAAAACTTTAAAGTTTTGCGGGCAATTAAGAGGCAAACGCGGACGATAGTGTGTTAGTTGCATAGAAAATAATTTTTCTATGGAACTAATTACTGTGCACGGACACGAAAATTTACTTGGTCCTATACCAAATGAAAATTAATCTCAACTAAAGATTTAATCGAATTTGATGACTTTAAAACAAAGCTTGTATCTTTTTAGAAATGTTGTCGATACTCGGTGAAAAAGTATCGCAGACATAAAATTAAAATAGCATTTTAAAACTTAAAGTTTCAAACTTTGACGTGATACCGATAATTAAAAAAAATTTTTTACCTTTCTTATTTTTGAAAAATACAGGTTTAATTACAAAATCGCGTAACCCGGCCAAAAAAATTGTAGAAAGATTTTAAAAAAACGTTTTGTAGACAATGTTATAGTTTGTGTAAGAAATTATAGTGCGTTAAAGTTCAAGAAACTTCAAGATTCAGAATGCTTTTTTAACTTTTTGTCTACCATAATTTTTCGCCAAATTTTAGCGGTTTGAAAATATTCCAACTTTTTAGCTTATGAAAAGTATTTTTTATTTTTTTAGTAGTGTATAGTTTTTTTAAAGATTATGTAAGCAAAAAAATAAAAAAGGAAGAATAAGCACACAAAAAAGGTGTCGCTTACAAGTAATCATCTCTTTCTTCTATCAGGAATGCAGATCCATCGATTATGTAATACTGTTAGCAGAGATATTGGCAAAAATATGTCGACAAAAATATCATTAATAAGATAGATCATCACACAATGATGCAAAAATATTTGAATACAGACCATTTCTTACTGTCATTATATCTCTTGCGTTCCGAATCTGGCAAACAATTGTTTATTTCCTTTCCGTAACGCCCGATCTTCAATGCCGTAGAGATGGATAAGCAAATGCTACTAATAACGCAGATACTTTTGGGCCCGTGATAATACAACATATACGATTCAATCCCTGTATGAAATATACAAAAATTTATTATATTATTTCTCTCACAGTGTATTAAAATGCGGCGTTGATAGAATTATCTGTAAAAGACGTCCATTTACCATAGAACCAGCAACCTCCTTTACGAAAATTCGGTTGCAAAAACTCCGGCAAATTTTTGGAAACAAATTCCATAATGACACCGATAATAGCGAAGATAAAGGGCAAACCCCACGCAAAGATCACATAAAACACCAGTTTTTTTTTGTCTTGTTGTCTGACGTTTCTTTGTAACGAACAGAATCCTCTGCAAAACGCATTTTACACATTATATTTATGTAATAATAGATAAAAAAATCAACGTAAATGCACGTTAATATAATGTTTGTTTTTGATCGAAACTTTCTCGAAAAAGTCCGTTCTACGAAAAAAAATAAACTTACATAATACAAGAAACCACTAGACTGTCATGAAAAATAGTTTAATATTTGTATAATATTAAGAAACTACCATATATTTATATGTATATCTATATACCATTAAGTGTACAGACGCGCTAATAGCAATCTAAATTTTAATTTAGTTGTACAAGACAAATTTTTGATAAAAAAAATTAGAAATGGATTGTTGTTCAAAAGTTATCGTGCATTGCTTTATTGTTATACATGAAAGAGAAAAAAGATGAAATATTAGGTTTATAAAATGTTCAAAAAAATTTCAGGGAATGTCAATAATAACAGCAATAGGCGCAGAGTACAAAACTATCAAGTAGGAATACTGGCAGATAAGAGCCAAGACGCGGGTATTGGTGCGCAAACTTATTATTGTTAAATTTTATTAACAAATGTGCATTAGAAACGTTTTGGACCGTTTTTTAATCATCTTCAGCATGGGTATACAAATATAAAAATTAAATTGGAATTTTAAAACTTGACATGCACAACAGTTGTTGTTGCAGTCAAATTTTAAAAGTCATCATTATATAGTAAACCATCGACGATATACGTGTGGTGATGGCGTTTGAACGTTGTCCATTAATATACGTTCTACGCAGGTCTTAGTGAGCCTGGCTTATGATTAATAATTTTAATTTGAAATTTGCAAAAACAAACGTTGTGCATGTCAAGGTTTAAAACTTTAATTTAATTTCTACATTTTTATACCATGCTGAAGATGGAGCAAAAAATGGTGCGAAATGTATATTTTTAATGCACATTTGTTCATAAAATTTAACAATAATAAGTTCGCGCAACAATACCCGCGCCTTAGCTCTTATTTGCCAATATTCCTACTTAATAATTTTTAGGGAAAAATTATTACGTTATATATATTGTGAATTATTATTGGATCAGATATAATAATATTTTATAATGTTCATTAATTAATATGCCATTTTTGCTTTTAAAAATTTAATTGGATTTCACAAAATAAAAACTATATAATCGTTTGAAAACCTTCATGCAATAATAGAGATTTTCCGAGAAACAATTTATTTGAAATCATAATTATTATGTTTATACTCGAAACTTATATTATCACAAGCCAGATAGTTGCTTACACTGTCCCACAACAACATTAACACGAGAAAAAATTCCGTTTTATTAATTCAAAGTGTCGTATTATTTCCCGTCTTTTGTCTTTACGTTGTCCACAGTATTGTATATAACATAAAATACGATTATTTATATTACAGAAAATTATTTTATCGCGTCGTGTTGTACAATACATGAATCAATCATATAAAGATAAGTTAAGATGAGGCAAGTTAAAGATAAACTATAATATATAAAATATTTGACAATTTACCTAAATGTCCACCACATGTCGAAACTCATTATAATTAGCCAGAAAGAGCTTGCCAAAAAACAAAAGTAGGTAAAAAAAGCTAAAAATAAAATTAATAACATGTTAATCATTGAGCGCGCTTTAAAATGTACATGAGAGACTTATAGTTACTACCATGTTTCTCCGTTTAAAGATAGATTTATTCTAACTATTGTATTTGCACTAAAATTTTATAGCAAAGATATATTTCATAAATATGTACTGATAGTAAATTAATTGTAAGTAAGATGTCGATTCAAGATATAATAATAAATCAGAAACACAAAAAAAATGTAATTATTTAGACCAATTTAAATTAGTTATATGATAAAGTGCATCTCAAATTTATCATTCACTAAATTTCATATTAATTCTTGCATTTTTAACAAAACATATATTCAAGTTAGTACCGATTGTAATACAGACTGAATGATGTACAGCATCCGCTTTGATTAGAATTTGCACAATGTCAAATATGTATGCGATAAAACATGCACCGCTGTAATTGCGCAACATGAAACCGTGTACATTCCGGAGCTCTGGCAATATGGAATATACTAGAAATATTGATATCAAAAGTGATATAGACACTATTTTAAAGCTTATAGCTGAGATAACATAGACATAATATTTAACATTTTTATTATACTCTTTAATCGACAAGATCTGATTTTTTCGGTTATATTTAAACTTGAATTTATTATAATATTTATCATACTCCATCATCATTTTAATAATTTCTGAACAGTAAGTCATTGCGTACTCATCCTCGACCACAGCGAGACAATATGATGTCGATTTGGCAAATATTCCATAATAAGATAAATAGAGAGAACCATTGGCAAAAAATTTGTAATTGGTCTCATTATAATCGGAACTCCAAAAACGATGTTCACCCTGGCACGGATCATGGACGACCAGCGGAAACAATTCGTCCACTGTCTTATTTTCGCTCTGCGACGAATCGTTCGTGTATCCGTACACATACGGTAAGATGTATTTATTTCCTTCAGAAAGGCATTCATCATCAACTAGACGATCACCGAGAGGACAGCATAGCAGAATGCAAGTAATATTGAAGAAGCACATTTCGTACGGAATGATGTTACTTATACTGCTATCTTTACTGGAGTTTTCGTAGAACTCGTGCGACGTGGAATCGTTTTTGTATTCTATGCTCATCAAGTTTTCATAAATTTCGTGTGACGTGAAGTTGCTTTTATGGTTGGCGTTTGTTGAATTCGTGCAAGGTTCCATCCGTATTTGCTTATCATCTTCATGATTCTGTATGGAGTGCGTACCGAGTTTAAATTGTATCGGGTCATCATCCTCGCTGCTCGTAGAAGTGGTGCGAGATTCATACTGCATATCTTTGTACTGCGTAGTATTGGTAGACTTTTTGTACGAATCATATAGCAGTGTTTTCATTTCGTCGTCATAGTTTGTCGTAGAATCCGCATCTATCTCATGTCATACTGTCGAATTATCATTTTTCTCTTTATTGCTAGTGAAATTTTGTTGAGATTTCGATAACGAAACAACGAAGAAAAAAAGAGCGCAATACCAAAACAAATTTTTCAAATTTTTTCCACACATCCTTGTTTTTTTGACGCGTTGAATTTATACCTGGAAAATACATATTTGATTTCTTTTTTATGGTAATTTCATAGAACATTATTTAGATGTTCTATTACAACGATATGCGAGCTGCGGCTTAAAAAATATACTAATATTGTTAGTCCGCGATGGTTTATTTGGAACAACTCATTTATCTTCGTACTGCGTAGTATTGGTAGACTTTTTGTACGAATCATATAGCAGTGTTTTCATTTTGTCGTCATAGTTTGTCGTAGAATCCGCATCTATCTCATGTCGTACTGTCGAATTATCATTTTTCTCTTTATTGCTAGTGAAATTTTGTTGAGATTTCGATAACGAAACAACGAAGAAAAAAAGTGCGCAATACCAAAACAAATTTTTCAAATTTTTTCCACACATCCTTGTTTTTTTGACGCGTTGAATTTATACCTGGAAAATACATATTTGATTTCTTTTTTATGGTAATTTCATAGAACATTATTTAGATGTTCTATTACAACGATATGCGAGCTGCGGCTTAAAAAATATACTAATATTGTTAGTCCGCGATGGTTTATTTGGAACAACTCATTTCTGTCCCAGCCCTAAAGATGGAAGGAGCTGCTTTTGAAGGATCTGTTCTCGTGAATGCATGTCAGAAAGTGAATTGATGTCGATAAAACAGCACTTCGATATAACGAGTTACGGAAGGGCCAAAAACACACGGTGATATCGTGATAGCGATAGGGGCGGTCGTTAAACTTTTTGAACGATATTGTTTTATTTCTTTCTGGACGTGTCCTCTATAAAAAAAGTCATGTAGACGCGTGAAATAAGCGTTTTGAGTCGATATGTATCGCACGTATTGTGGTAAGCGCAATGACAGAACCAATCAGCATCGCGGAAAGCGACAACAATACACTTCGAGATTTTCGAGTATCGACTTTACATGCCTTTTTTTAGATAGGATTATTTATTAATATAAACGATTTATTTAATATTAATATAAAACGTTTCTTATAATATATATATTACTTATAAACGATACATTAATATAAACGATTCATTTAATATTAATATAAATGTTTCATTTACAGTTAAAGAAAAGACGAAGAATAGGCGAGAAAGAGAGAGGAAGGGAGAGAAAGAGAGAGAGAGAGAAAAACTGAGAGAGAGATATCTAATAGATGAACAAAATATCTATATCTCTCGAATGACTACCGAAGATATCCACCAGATATCCACGTGAAATCCACATATCCATGTCCACCACACAGATACCGAAAATATCCATTAGATATCCACGTGGAATCCACATATCCATGTCCACCAAACAGCTACCGAAGATATCCACTTGATATCCACGTGAAATCCACATATCCATGTCCACCACGCAGCTATCAAAGATATTTATTAGAGATTTACGTGTTCATTTACTTACCGCTATGCGGCGCACTATACACTTTCTATATCCGTATTCAAGTTCTTGTCATGAACGTATATAAAGTCTGCACAATGCGGTTAATAACATCGTAATTATTTCTATCAGTTTAACTTCTGATACGATTCCCGTACCGAGGAATTCAGATATTGAACTGATTTTTAGAAAATCGGACAGATAAATAATGTTCGATTTTCACTTATTCGGACAATTTATGTCCGAATAAGCCAAAATCGTTCGTTATTATCTTATTTAAATTATTGAAAATATAAAAACGAAGAATATGATAATATTATATATGATATTAGGCAGTTATATTTGTTTATTTTATGACGTATATGAAGTATATCATCATACTTATTGTTACATATATTTTGATTTTATAATTATTAATTTAATTATTTTATGAATTATTTATCATAATAAAAGGCGCGCGCGCGTAGCGCGCGCTTGAGTTGATCTAGTAATTTAAAAAATGAATGACATGCGTGAATGCTTGATTTTTATATTTGATTTTAAAAGCTTTTAATTGTTTTATAGTTTAATACACACATATATATGTGTGTGTATATATATACAGGGTGTCCGGTAAAGATTGTGCCAACGCTCGTGAGCGGCTAGAGCACAGTAAACTGAACAGAAAAGTCCTGTAACATTTTTTTATATAACGCGTAATAAAGGAATTATTATTGAGTAAAATCTGGTCAATTAGCGCCGATTTTTAGCCGGACGCACGTCGGTGAGCCGCCCGCCTGATAGTATGCGGCGGCGCACACTTCACAGCGCGGGGCTCACTGACGTGCGCCCGGCTAAAGGTTGGCGCTGATTGGCCAGACTTT